TATTGTTGAGGTACTATAGCACAAAATATCTAAATATTTTGGAAAACACACCTTACAAGCAAGCTTAAAACAGCAGATCATGACAATAGATATATAAACTCTAAATATTTTGAGGAGAAAGACACACATACGCACACACATACATCCCCAAAATTGTCTGATTGGCAGTACAGTGAAACTTTGATTTAACAGAACTCCATTTAGTGGTCTTTGGATGCGATGCACCAAATTTCCATCTGGACATCCCTTGAAATAATGGACAAGTCACTGAATGCGAAGAAGTCCACATGAGGCACTGAAATGTATGATAATTTTACCTTAACTTTATGGCATCATTTATGTCAATTTTTGTCTTTATTATGCAAATGACATTAATGGAAGGAAATGATGTCATTTGCATCCTTTGAATAATAGTGCCATTACACAAATAGCATAAATTGCCATGTTGACATACTTTTGTATCCCCCCTCCCCCCAACAAAACGATCTATTCAAACAAGGTTCCACTGTAATGATTTTCAGAGCTGGTTCCAGTGATAGACAACTACTAAATGAACAGTGTGTGGGCTCCGACAATATATTTTTATTGTTTATAAAAATGTCCCCAAAATTGCCAGTGAGCAATTTATAGAATCCAATCAGGATCACTTCAATAAGTAATAACTTAGTAGTCTTAAGTAACACCTTAGTAGTCAATGTTAGCAGATAGGTGATAAAACAGTGCTTTGACAAATATCGTGACTTTTATATTATACCTCAAGCAAAAAAAATATGGAGAGATTAGCATGACTGTTGTGCAGGTAAGTGACTTTATTTTTAGACCCTTTAGATTTGTAAAACAGCTACATCTAGTGGCTGAACTGTTTGCAGACAGAATTCCATAGTTTTCTGATGGGGGGATTTAATATATGAAAAGCAGAGAACAAAGTATTTAAAGCACACATTGATGTTCACTCTTTAAGATCTGTTACTCTAGTAATAAACTTACATGTTTTTAGATTTTTTTTTATCCTGCTTTTATTATTTTTATAAATAACTCAAGGCAGCAAACATATCGAATACTCCTTATGCCTCCTATTTTCCCCACAACACCACCACTGTGAGGTGAGTTATGTAATTGGTAATAATGTTTCAAAATATTGGAATGATTTACAGAGCTCATTATGATATTTGGAATGGAAAAAAGCTTCCATGAGATGTGGAATATTTTGAACACAAGGACACCTGAAAGAAAGCCTAGGTCGGTCCTGCAACATCAAGAGACAGCCAAATGGCCTTTAGGCAGCCCATCTCAGATGTGCAATATCAAGATGGAGAAGAGAAACCTCCAGCTTGAATCAGTTTTTTTGTCACGCTTGATAAGGTGTACTTGACAAATTTACCAATTGTTTTCAAAGAGAGAATAAAGGCCATGGTTAATAAGAAGAGGAAAACTTGACTTGATATGATTAGAGTTTGACCTGATATTTAGGAAAAAGCATGATCAATAAATTTGGTGGCTAGCTTATATCCTGTGCAATAGAAATAAAATTCAGAATGATTTGGGTAGGTTAGAAAATGGTCTGAAGATAATAGAATCAACTTTAACAGAGAAAAATGCAAAGTTCTTCATTTAGGGGAAAAATTGGGAAGACTGAAGAGAGAATACAATAGCATTCTTTCAATATTTGCAAAGCTGTCACACAGAAGGTGCTGAAGATCTGTCTTCCATCATTTTATATGATAGGATATGGAATAATAAACTACAAAAAGCAGATTCAGACTAAATGTTAGAAAAAGCTTTCAAACAGTTCAAGCAGAAACTAGACAGTGATCTAACTTAGAAGTTAATTTGGATTCCTGCACTGAGTTAGGACTTGGACTCAGTGGCCAAAATAGCCCCTTCCAATTATGATTTAATATATACTATATAAACAATTTGACTTACAGTACTAAGTTACAAAAGGAGCTATGTGTAGCACTGAAGATTTACTCTGAGGTAATTCACCAATATTTGAGCTTCATAGCTATAAAGACTTAAAGCATATATAAAATTCTCAATGAATTCTTATACATGCCAACTCATTTGAATAGGATGTATATGAAAGCAAGTGAGAATAGAATTACAGGTTTAGGAACAACTGAAGGGCAAGAGGGAAGGAAATAAATCCAGAAGAGATTTGAGTTGACAGGCAGGGAAAAGAGTAATTTAGTAGTTATAGTTATTAAAAAAGTAAGCATACATCTGCTAATATCTACGTTTTTACAGAAAACATAAAAAGCTACGAAGATCAAAATATAATTAATCAAAAAGATTTACAAATGTATACTTAGGAAAACATCTCCAGGTAATACCTTAAACATAATACACTAAGTTTTTTATTTAAATATTGATTTTATACCCTGCCTTTTTACCAAGAAATAGCACTCACAGTCAGAAATCCATTTTACAATGGATGACAACTGAATTAATCACCAGCTCTTAATATTTGACAGCTTAAATCAGTACAGTCTATCAAGATTCTGGATTCAAAGCAACCATATCAATACAGCATGTTGTTTTAATTATTATTTTATTAGTAAGCTTAAATCCAAACTACTTGAATCCAGAATTGGGATGCCCACAGAGAAGCTGTCTATCATGCATACTAAATTAATGATCTGGACATTCCCATTTCTTGGTCAGTAGTCATTTTTTTTGGACATTGCCTACTCATTATTCTACTGCAAACTATGTACTAGATTTGCACTGAACTTGGTTGGCTTAATTCTTTACTGCTCCTACATTGCCACTCTATCCAATTAAAAACTCTGAGAGATGCCTGTACAAGAAGTCTGACGCCTTTGGATTGACTCTACAAACTCCTTCACAAATCTGTAAACAATTTCAGGGAATCAGACAGCTGTACATATACAAATCTTGAAGAGTAAGAAGCACCAGGAAACGTTTTGGAGCACAATACATGAAACATGGAAGATACACAAAAGTTAGAATTCATCAAAAATGCCTCATAAAGTCAGCTCATTCACACCATTACTAATCCCTTTGCTACCTCATCTTTAGAACCAGATTCCTCCGTTCCCAAAGTATAAGATTTGCAGGGACATACCGATTATACTAGCTACTGCCCTAGTATGAAAATAAGTCTAACATACTTTATTACTAAGATATGAAAAGAGACTTATAGGCCATTTAGTTATAGATTAGTTTCAGGTTTGGGAAACTATCATGACTATGTAAATAACACTGCCCCCGCCCCCCAGCCAGGGAAGTAATACCCGCATCTTTGGTTGAAAGTTGTAATTTACACTTAGAAATTGTATCCCCCCATCAGAAAAATTTCAAGCTGCTAATGTTTGCAAACAAGTGATATGGGGAAGTGATATAAAGGCATGTACACATGCACATGCACACACACACGTTTTATTTATGGTCAAAGATCAGTTGTCAGTTATACAGTACATGTAATCAGAAAGACAATCAAAAGAAAGGGAAAATAAAATTAAACACAATAATAAAACACAATAATCCCCAAACAGGCAAGGGCTTAAAGGCTTTGCTTTAGATCTACAACCATGAAAAGTTTACTGATTTTCACAGTACCAACACTTGAGTAGTGGGCAGATCTCAAACATGCAATACCCGTAAGAAGGCCTAAAAATGTTTCCAAGCTAGAAGAGTTCTCCAAAGAAGAGTGGGAAACAAATCCAAAAGTAGAATAAAAAGACTCTCAGCACGCCACAGAAAACATTTTGAAGCTGTTATTTCTGCCAAAGGAAGTGTTACAAAGTACTGATTGAAAGGTGTCCAAACTCCTGTACCTGCCACATTCACTGCTAAAATTTTGAATCTGTAAACTAGACATCAAGAGTAAGTATGCATTTAAATTTGCAGAAAGCTCTGGTGCCATGTAGAGTTTTTGTCATCTTTTGTTCACTAAAGGACTCACTGAAGCATATAATTTGACTCGAGCTGCCTAAACTTTTGCATACAACTATAGCTTTTTGAAAATAACGGGCTATCAAATAACAAAATGCAGGCAAGTTGTTTTCCTTGACTATTTGGGCTACTTCTGCCTATTGATCAATTAGGCCTTCTGCTTTTTCTTTTTCAGCAAAGGTTTATATCTTTCATCTGAAATAAAATGAAAACAATAGTGCTGACACCATTATCTAGCCCAATATATCTCCCTTCAAGATCCTCTTCTACAGACCAGTCTAAAAGATGTTAATGAAGAAATGACAGATGTGGAACAATTTTTTACCTGATAAAGTACAGAATGTGGAACTACAAATGACAGCCCAAGAGAATGATTTGGAAAAGGATGGTTTACCAGATATACAAAAGAAACTGGCTGAAGTTTTAAAAATTAAAAGGGAAATACAAATGATAAATCAAGAGAATGACCTGAGAAATGTTTTCTTGCTGAAGATGGTTTACCAGATATACAAAAGAAACTGGCTGAAGTTTTAAAAATTAAAAGGGAAATACAAATGATAAATCAAGAGAATGACCTGAGAAATGTTTTCTTGCTGAAGATGGTTTACCAGATATACAAAAGAAACTGGCTGAAGTTTTAAAAATTAAAAGGGAAATACAAATGATAAATCAAGAGAATGACCTGAGAAATGTTTTCTTGCTGAATCTACAAAATAGGCTTGTTAAAGCCTTGAAGAAACCTGTCTGATAGGATTAGGAATTGAAAAGAAATCAAATCCTACAATAGTATTTGATTGAATTAAAGATTAAGACCGTTAGAAGTAAAAGGAAGGAATATAAAGTTAGTTTATTTGATCAAGGTTAAAATGAGACTTTTTTTTTTTTTTTGGTAACACCAGGATTGAAAAGTAATGTTTTATGGATTTACTTATAAGGAAGGAATGAGATATGGGATGAAGAGATATCTGTTTAACCTTGTAAGGGGTGAAGAGTTATTAAATTTTATACTTCTTGTGATGATGGTTGGAAGTCACTTCCAATATTTCTTTTCTATTATATTTTCTCTTTTCTTCTTTCTTCTTTCTTTTTCCTGGCACTTTTGTTTCTTTTCATTCTTTTCCCTTTCTCCAAGTTTAGTTTGTATTAGCTTTTATTATCATAATTAAAAATTCTTAAGATCCTCTTCTACAGACCTGTTTAAGAATGATCAAATTTAGTGATCATTCAGGCCAGCCATTACGTCCCATAATTAATTCTTTTGGATCAACAAAACTGAAGCATTAAAGCATCAGGCAAAGGGTAATTACTGCTGAAGCAAATATATTTGGACGAAGTCTCAATATTAAAATCACAGCAATAACTACAGCAGAATGAAGACATAGTAACATCAGATCCAATATATAATGCTTAATCTTTCCCAGCTATCATTTGTTTTTCTCAATAATCGCTGAGGAATGTAAACCATTATCAGAAAGCTTAAGAATATCAAATTTTTCAATAATCTCAAAAACCAAGAATCACTGCTTTTAGAATACATCTAACTATATTCCAGGAAATCAAGATATGCTGATCTCCATATTACTTCAAGACTTTCCTCCACAGATGGACTGAAAATATTAAGAAGTATAAGCTATAGTTTCATTTTTTGTATTTAATTTGTCTTAGTTCATTTGCAAAGTTCATCTTGGCACACTTTCTTGGCTATGCTAAGTTCTTCCAGTACTAAACATCTGTGACTGTTCTGTCAACTTCCCCTCCATTAAATGGGAGATAGGATTTAGAGTAGGCTGTCATCTGGCCCTGACAAGCTTCCTTTTACAGGTAGCTAGATCGAATTATACAAATATTTGTTTATAATATTGTGTCTGCTCCATCAGTTCCTTCAGGTTCCTTGCCTGAGAACTGGCAAAGCAAGGTTTTAACTGGGAGGGTGATTGTGTATAAAAATGTCAAGGAACTTCTTAAGTGTTCCAACCTACAAAGACTTTCAGCTTTGGTAACAAAGTAAAAAGTTGTTTAGCTTATCTTTTCAGGAAAATCTTTAAACAGAGGAAAATTTAAAGACATTTGGAGCTCTAAATGCCATAATTTGACTGTGTGTGTGTGTGTGTGTGTATGTGTATATGTGTATGTGTGTGTGTGTGTATATATATATATATATATTTATTTATATTTATTTACTTACTTACTTCTTTCTGGGTAAATAGTTGAGCATTTAAACTAAAATTGTGCTACATCACTTGCCCTTAGAAATGATTTCATCTTTTCCAAATCAACTTGGGACATTTGACAGTGTAAAATATGACTTAAAGAAAAAAACACAACTGCTTTTTAAGCAGACTACCTTCCTTGGTTGATGTTATATTTGACAAAAAGTACAACCATGAGGTATCCTTTGTACTGGAATGGCAGACGAGACTGACATCATATTCACCCATCTGTGCATCCATTTCTCTGTTGTGGTGCAAATAGATAGATAGATAGATAGATAGATAGATAGATAGATAGATAGATAGATAGATAGATTATCTTAAATGGTAACTAGGCTGAACTGAGAGTATCATTCATTTTATAATGTGATTATAACTACATGTTCTTTTAAGATATTCTATGTTTTTATTGGATGTCCAGTTCTTTATCGCCTGATTCTTTTCCCTATCTGCTTACTCTACTTCTGGTCTTATTTATTCTAAACAAATATAGATGAGGAAGAAGAAGAAATAATCAGAAACACGCCTGGTCAGTAGAACTTTCAGAAAACATCTGAACGGTTGAAGATTGAGGAGCTCTTATAAGTGAAAGACTTTATAAGTGACAATGATCTACTACTTTTCAGCAATAAATATGATTATTAAAACATCTTAGGTTGGCTGGGCTTCAGGACATTCTCTCTGTTCTATCACTAAAGCCAATGTACTAACACAAGGGATGAACCCTTGCTAATGGAGTCATAATAGAAGGTAAATATATCAAACCATGAAATTAGGTCCAAGAGGCCCTCAAAAGAAGTAAATATAGTTGATTTTATGGTTTGAAATTGTTATTTCAGCCTTTCAAAGTTACCATTGAAAAGTTAAACTTCAATGCTCTTTTAATTGCTCTTATAAAAAGCAAAATAGGAGGGGAGTCAGATGACATCATTATATGTATATGCACTTGTGCAGACACACATTCACTCACACTGAACACAACCCAACCACAGATAAATATACATACATACAAGTTTCTATTGTTTATACAATTTAAAAAATACAAATAAAATGAAGCCAAATTTCTCACAGGGCTTAATTCTGTACTAATGTAGCACGTAAATCCTTGATTATATGCTCTTCACTCTTGCCTTTCACACCCCTTCTCTCAGTGGCACTAATGAATGCAAAAAGTATAATTATTGCTTCAGACCAGCATGAAAAAGCAGAGAGATAAGCTCTCTAGGGACATACATAATAGAAAAACACGATTGGACACCAATCACTATACATTTCCACTTGCTGAGCAGGAAACCTGTTCATATCTAACTGCTATTAAGCAATGGATGTTTTATTTGAACCTTGATTACGTAACCTTTCAGTGTCAATATATAAGTCAATAGAACTGCAATCTTGTTTTTGAAATGCCTAATTATGCAACTATTTTAGCTATCACAAGGCCATCCAGAGAAGAGAGGAATATATTGTCATTTTTAGAGTTTATAACCTCCTGCCCCTTTTGTTCACAAAATAGCACATAAACAATGGAACTGAAATGCAATTCCTCTTTTTTGACTGTTCTTATAATAGAAAATAAAAAAATCTGACACCCATTAACATAATAGGAACAAATTCAACAAGATGTTAATCTACTTAGTATACAGTAAATTACTATGGAGTTCAGCTGAATTAAATATCCTGACGGGGCAATAGCTACTGGCAATATTATTTGGTTTAGCCCACTTCTATGATTCTAGTTATAAGCATACAAGTTATGACATAGTTATTCCCATTATTCTTTATGACTTTTCAGTCCCTATCAGAAGATGTTGAAAAAGCTATGCAGGAGTATGATTTCCAATGGACTCATGAAATGTGCTCTGGGTAAATCCAATCACTTACAAGCAAAATTAACATTGTACAATTCAGGCAAAAGTAACATGAGCAGCCACACCTAGAAAACTAGTGGACTTGTCTTTTTTTTTTTTTTTTTAACAGAATACACTTGCATCTTTACTGAAAGCAATATGCACTGAAGAAGAAAACTGCAGCAGAGGACATTTATTCTTAGTTTATTGCTTTTTATTAACCTTGAACCCTCAAGCCCACTAGTGTTTTCATTTGAACACTCAGACTAGTCTTAATTTGGGTTTTGGGATAGTTTTCTGCAAATCACTCGCATGGCTGCTCTTTCCACTTCTGCCATTTGTCACTGGTTTAGCTTTTCCAATTTCATTTCCCCTTGAAAAATGCACAAGACTCAAAGACTGTTCAGCAGATTTACTCAGAATGGACTCTTAGATGCTTAAGAGGAAAAAAAAAAAAAAAGGCACAGATTTAAAAGTCTCCTGTGGCTCCTGAACACAGCATATGTAGTGTTTTGCGTCTGGTAAACCAACAAAAATACTGCTATGAATTATATGAGCTAAGAAATTCAAACTTGCCTTGCCATAATTAATTGCCTTCATTAAAATGGAATTTGAATTATGTTTCATAATATAAACATATGAAAGAAAGTCAACTTCATGAGGATTTTTTTTTTATGTAGCGTCCTCAGCATTCACTGCAACTTCTCCTTATACATTTACTACACAGTATTCCAGTAGGTGTTGGGGTAATCGTGAAGCACGCAAATTCCAAGACTTCTCAGTGCACTACAGCAGTGGATGAAATCCATCTGTTTTCTGTGCTGGCAATGCCAGTCAAAACACAGGAAGGGTTGAGGGCTTACAGCTGGCTCCCTTCAGATGTAATCGTCTTCTACTGGCTCCCCATTAACATCACAGTAATGGATGAAGATAGCTACCACCCGCTGGAATACCCCTTTCTTCATCTGACGGAGTTCAGAGATCTCTTCACCTATTGTTTCCATGCAGATATCTGCTGACAGTTGTCCTTTTCTCCGGGGTGCATAAATAGTAGCTAATATTAGAATGCAAAGAAAAAGAGAATGGAAACAAAAATAACTGTCACTGGAATGTATGCCTTCCTTTTAAACAAATACATAATAAATGCTATCTCAGGCATAAACATTCATATTTAAGGATCTACCATACAAAAATGGCTATCCTACTGACAAACTAATAACATTATGGTTTGAAGCAGTTGATGCAAGTATGAAATATATAAATGTCCTTTCAAGGCTCAGCTTGATTAGACCTTCCCTGAAGACCTTTTTGTTGAGCTTCAATGCCATTTACCATATAAAATGTTTTCATACATAGCTCATACACAGAATTTGAAAAGATACAACTACAGTTTACAACTATTATTTTGGAAAGTATTCTAAATCCCCAACTCCTTTCTCAACCAACCTTGGGAGGAAAATTCACAACTGGCACACTGTTACCAAAAAAACTTAAGAATACTGTAGCTTTTGAATAAGCGAATGTGAAAGAAGGCAGTTTTTTGGACCTAATTGTTAAAAGAAAAAAAAATAGGATATTGTGTTGAACTCAAAAACAAAATCTAAGCTGTGTTCTTCATCCAAAACTAACAATCTTCATTGTCTGGACTTCACATTGCACCAGCTATAGACACTCCTATATAAAATGCCCAAATTTATCTAAGGCATGGATTGCTGCAGCCAGATTTGAATTCCCTAGGAAGGTCAACAGATAACCCAATAGCCAAGCAGGGAAAGGCACATAAATATATCAGCAGTCTGGAAATGCTATTCCAAAAAATTGCTTTAAATGGATGCTTTAAAGTTAGTGAACTTCAGTGAGGATGGCGTTCTAGAACATGGGTACAAGTCCTATCCAATTCCTTCACAAATGAGCTCACCTGATTGATAATGAAGAGCAAATGTCTTCTATCATTCCAAAGGTCAGGTTATGGAATAATGGATATAAGTTACAGGAAGGCAGTTCCTGTAGGCAGAGCACCCTAAGAGCAATTCACAACGGAGCCATTTACTAGAGAAGTGATGAGCTCCCCTTCACTGGATACATTCAAACGAAGCTTAGACAATGATATACTGTGGATGTGGATGCTTTAATCTGGATTTTTAAATACAAGGATTCAATAGCCTAAGTGACCACTTCAAACTCTGTGATGCCTAAAGAGTTGGGCTGTATAGAAGTATGTGAAACAAATATATCAACAGACCTATGAGGAACACATGGGTAAAGACATTCCCTGTAACACTGTAAATATATTACATTTTTGTTTAAGTTGAAGCTACATTGCTGCAAAATGCTTCAGGTTCCCTGGTAAACACAGGCACTCAAATGTTTACTTACTCTTTTCATCATCTTCAAAATCGTATCTTGCATAGCCATTAGGATCAGCTGTCCTCAGTGACCTCAACCAAGGAAAGTCTGTTATCATTGAATAGGGAGCCCCATCCACAACACCTACAACAGAACAGCCAGAAAATAGGTCTCTGCACTTCTTTTTTCAGGTGAAATAATCTCTTCTAGCCTACAACTGTCTTATGATGTAAAGAAGCATTCAGAAAATAAAATCCTCTGCAGATATTTGGTTATTTGCAAGATATACACATTACGATGAGGAGATACACTAATTGCACCTCCTTTTGCAATACCTATGCAACAAGAAGTCTTTTTTCTGTCATTAAAAACAACACACTGTTTTTCATTTACCTTTTTTATTAATAAAAATTGTGGGATTATCCATATGTCTATACTGAAATCTCTCTTCTTGCAGATATGCTCATGTTTTTGTCATGAAAAATATATTACTTTATTTTTTTAAAAAAAACCATAATTCTACACCCAGAATGAGCTATTTTTTGTTTGTCTAAACAACAGGCTATAATTTGAGAATATTTTCTTAAGAAGTTTATATTGTTGCTTTCAAGGTCTCTGTAATACTTACCTTCTAGAGTATAAATATCTCTCCCCCAGGGATATTTTGTATATTTTTTTAGGTCATCTTCTGTTCGTGTGGCTTCAGGAAAGAATTCATATTTAATAAGCTCTCTAAAGGACCGAATGAAGAAAAAATATGAAAATAAACGACATATCTATAGAAAACAACCTGGGATGTTGAAATTATAGACTGGACTTTCCCAAACTGACACTCTCTAGATGTATCTAACTCCTATGATTCCCAGCCTTTGGCCATGTTTGTTGGCAATTATTGGTCTTCAACTCCCATATATTTTATTTACTTATTCAATTTAGTTCCTGCTTCATTACTCAAGTAAATATTCAAGGTAATTATTGAACATATAAGGGAATCAGCTTGTGGAATACTGTTACAGACAATAAAGTAATGAGGACAACTGTCCTAGAGTGTCCATGTGTAAAATATAAGCTGAAAGAATTAGGCAAAATGTTATTTAAAACCCTATTTTAAAATTGAGATTCAATTGTGATGTACTTTACATCTGAAGACAAGGATACATTATTAAAATAAAAACAAGATTCCCCCAAAGAAAGCTGTGAAATGACTTCAGCACCACTCTATACCCTGGACATGTTAAGCTGATATTGCCATAAATTCTGGACATTTCCCATAATCTGACTACTGGCTATGCTATCTGCTGCCTAAGGGAATTATAGCATGCCATTAAGAAAGAAAACACACATCATTATAAAGATTGAAGGAAGCCTGCTAATTATTAATACAGATATATCTATCTCTATATAAATATAGATAAAGATATACACATACACACACATACTATGTATGTATGTATGTATGTATGTATGTGCATGCTGGCTCTTCACCCAGGCCTTTGGCAAGGAAGAGTGAGACCCTTCGTTTCATCATGCTTGCCATCTTTTTATTTTTATCTTTTATCGATTTCATTGTAATTTATTTGATTTTGTGAGTTCCCAGAGTTATTGAGTCGGGCAGCATACAAGCTTAAATAATAGCAATAATAATAACAACAACAAAAACAACAACAACAACAACAATACTATCCTGGGTCCTTGGGACGGACTCGATAGGTGGATAAAAATGCCAAACCCAGTCTAAACATCAGGCTGACTGTGTGACCAACAATAATAAACAGTGAGATTGTAAGATTGGTTAACATCTGGCAAAACCTACCTGATAATGAAAGATCCAGCAAAAGGGGCAGCACCAGGCAACTACAGGCTAATAACCTGCTTACCAACAACTTTCAAATTGCTAACTGGTGTTGTAGCTGATGTAGTCCAACAACATCTAGTTGAAAACAAGCTCTTTCCACCTGAGGAGAAAGGAAACTGCCCAAACAGCAGAGGTACAAAAGATCAGCTCTTAATTGACAAGATGATCTTGGAAAACTGCAAGAGAAGGAAGACCAACTTGAATATAGCTTGGACTGATTACAAGAGGCATTTGACTCCCTGCCACATGGCTGGATAATCAAGTGCCTTGAAATAACAGGAGTCAATAGAAACATCAGAAGCTTTGTGCAAAGATCAATGGCACAATGGA